AATCATTTAGATTGAGAAACATGGCGGCACACTGTCGTGCTGCATGAGACCCATCGCACATGTCGGTGACATGAATGACGTGGGCACCTGTACAGCATGGAAGGCGTTGACACAATGAGACTAGCCGCTGCATGCGCATATCTATAACACGACGAGGTAAAGCAACGATATGTAAGATGATATATAATGCCTCGACCACCCAAAATGTTCAGCATACCAGCTTGAGCAGGGGCGCATTTTTCTCCACTTTCTGGATCACACCAGCAGCAATCCCTGCACTGCAGTGGACGATTACTTTGGACATTGTCAGTGGATTTGCAATCCCTAATGGGGACCCATGGCGTTGGCGGATATGGCAGCTCATGAATGCTATATGTCATATCGATACATGAAAAACTGACGTTATGCTGCATTTGTCTTAAATGTGATACGCCTTGCGTAGGTGAACCGGAAGCATGGAGAGATTATTAATAGGGACAATGTGGATTCCAAGTTAGCTTTCTGTTCTTCCAGTGCAAATGACCTGGGGTCAGGCTAGGTACCTACATCCGTGGAGAGTGTCTTGCTCATATGATGTTGTTCACCGATCACAAATATACATCCGTTCTTTAATGATGTCATTGCAACAATGTTATTGCAACAATGCAAATCTATAACCCACCCCCGGGTAATTGTCTCCACATATGGTGCGTTCCCGCTGTGCTATAATTCTTTGCACTTGGCACTGAGGCAAACGACTCTGGCCAAGAAAACCTCCATTCTGAAGTGTTCCCTAAGCAAGCGAACACACTACTTCAATACGCTTGGTCTTCGACGGGTGCCAAGCTCGCCACCGCCGCCCCCCCGCACTCCCTTCCCTTACCCTTTGGATATCCTGAGACTGCGAAAATTCGGTGCATAATGAAACAAAGTGCCGCCAAAGTACCAGCGACGATTTGGTGGGTGTCACCGTTGCGCCTGCGCCGGGCGCACCCAACTCGAAAGTTGGCCTCGAGCCCTGCACCGTTCACCGCAGCGTGGCGCTGCCAAACGCCCTCCTGCCCACTCTATTTGGCACAATTCGCCGGCCCCTATAGCGCTTGGCCACCGCATAGCCACCCCAGCCGGGCGAGAAAAGGCCCAACCTCAGTCGGCGTCGGCAGTCTGGGTGAGGGGTTGGGGGGACTCTTCGCGAGATGTCGGCTGGGGGCTGTGGGTGTCATTGGTCCGTTTCAGTTGCACTGGAAAGCAAAGTTGCGGATGCTGCTGTCCCTGAAGTTGACCGTGTTAGAATTGCGACAATCGGCCAACGTTGGCGGAGGTTGCAACTCTTGAGGGGCGCTCCCACTCGAGCAGATGCAGCTGCCGCTCCGACCTAAGCTGTCACAGATGTACCGGCACAGCCGGCACCACAGCTTGCGACCCGAAATCGTCAAGTCTCACTCGAGCTTCCCAGCGCATCCCGTACCATCTCGCGCCCCTATCTTGCCTTCCTAAGCCGCCGTTTCCCCTTACAGCACATTCCTTGCTGTTTTTCTGCCAATCGGTATTTCAGGAGCAGGGAACTAGAAGGCCGCGATCTCGAACACCGTTGCGAATTGCCGTCAACAGTCTGTCGCCGATCGCCGTCGTGTGGTCCACTCCACCGCACACCGCAGGGCCATACTGACCTCTTCCGCTATGATTCTTTCCTTGGTGCAATCTCTTTTGTAGCCCCCACCACTTTACTTTACCCCACCCACCCACGCACACACACACACACACACACAAAAAAGAATCCATCCCCTTCTCCAACCTCCAGCCCACCCTGCCACCATACACACCAGTCGTCCGTTGATTATTTTGATATTTATTTCGACTACTGCCCATTTTAGATATCAGTACACCAAACGCTGAATAGGTATGATGAAACAGCACACAACAAAGGCCATAACAATAGCAATAGCGTCTTCCCCATTTCATCCATCGTTTTGGTTGCTATCTCCAGGCTTCCAGAGCACGTTGGCTCCACATAGTTGCATGTATTTCTGTCGTTGCTCTAAGTATCATCCGGAAATCTGGTAGGAGTTGATACAACATTGACAGGCCATTGCATCAACGCCGCTCTACAGACACCAGCTCTGAAGATTAGCGTTGATCCAAGGGCCAATGGTGCATCAAAGCCTGCCAAATTTCTGGATGCATCTACGGGTTGATAAATGGGTCGTTGATGCAGCATTTCTGGAACACTGCTTGTTTGGGAATGTTGCACCAAGATGCCTTGTCGGAGGATTGGTAAACGCCGACGCCAGGAGCCATTGTTTCAATGGCCCCCTTGCATCGACCCTCATCAACGTTGCATCAACGCCTGCCGAATTTACAGATGATGTGCAATGTCGCCGCCAAGTGTTCAGGAATTTTGGATAAGTGCGCTCCATCAGGAAAACATACAGTACTCGCGTCCGTTACATCAGTACCAGAACACATATCGTTCGGCATGTTGGAAGAGATCATCGCCATTTCCTGTGCTGACTCGGTAACTGAGTGGGTGGGTGACTGGGAAGACTCGAAAAGGAGTCGTCGGAAAGTTGCAGTTTCAGGGATGCGACCATATCCTCGCCCATATCGCAGAATATGGATGTCCATATGCAGGATATGACCATGTTCCGGATATGTATACCAAGGATACGGTGCCCGTATATTTGATATCAAGGACATGGCAATTTGTATCCATGGAGGCGCACTGCACACAGCGAAACAATGCAGGCACCCGTGATCGTAGGACTAATTGAACGTGGCCAACTAATAACCTGAGTTGCACGAAATTCGCATAGTAGCGACTGCGCATCTATTCTCAGCAAGCCTGATTTCTCATGCCTCGTTCGCTGATTGCCTCAGGACCAGCCTTGATGGCATTCAGGGGCAATATTTGATTCATCTGTTGGGTGCACTTCAATGCCTCTCGCCTGTGTGCGCATTTTTCATTTTCAAATCTGAAAACACCATTGATGCGCTCATAGTATCTCACGTGTGGCATCTTTGTTTCAGACGCGGAAACGGAGGTTGCTCCATCTACTGCGGGCGCTGACTTTCATGGTACTTTGTGAGATTTCTCGCTAGCTTCTTTAGCCCCACGAATTTCGATTTCTGTGGAATACCTGGAGCTTGAAAATTGGGAATGTTCATTTACAAAGATTTTGACTGGTCGACACTTGAGTCAAGACTGGAAGCAGGGTTGTGTTGCGACAAGGTTGTCGCAGGGAATAGGGGATCAGTAATCTAATTTGATCCACATGCAGACATTCAAAGGGTGGGCCGATCTCTCAAGCGTGCTAAAACACCGAAGGATCTGCATACCAAAGGGGGAACTAGGGAGGCGCCCACGAGGAACCGAATCGTGGCGCCTGCGAGGCTGATTTGCACCAAATGGTCAAGATAGAAATTGGTAATCTGTGGACGAGCACTGCTCTTTGGCAGCTACAAGATGCGCTAAAAACCCCGAAAACTTTTGCGAATTGTAAATTACTTAATTTCTGTCGATTCTGTAGACTTTTTCATAAATCTTATGAAGGTTTATGCTACTCTCTGCTTGTGTGATTTGCTGGGCAATCATATCAAAATGGCCGTCGCCGTTCGGGTTTGTTTCAAGTTAAGTTATCCCCATCTTTTGTATCAATCACACGTGGCAACAAAAGCTTTGACGGCACCGCCCTTCCCTCAATTCTGCGATTTGGCATGTTTCCATACTTGGTGTGCATGCCATTGCTTTTGATGCCATTTTGAAATGAAACCGGCGTATCGGATAGCATAAACAGTACATAGTACGTGGCTGATTGCAGGCCAGACGACACCATGTTTCGATAAGAGTAGTAATAATTGCAGCCTGAGTTATGGACTGATCAGATGCCAATTTTGATATCGGTTTTGAGACTTGATGGACTGAACAATGGTCGTCGCCTGCAACAAGTTTATTGACAAAACAACGTTTTGATAACCACTGAAACATGCTTGGCACAGCAATTGATGAGACCGAGCCTCAGCTGCTTTCGCCAAAACGTTTCTTTTCCTCATCTGCATCCCAAGATCCGATGTGTTGAAATGAACCTCATGCATTTTAGACGACACTCAGCCGTCTTTGCACTTCGCCACCATTGCTTTTCTGCAATCTCTTGGCTAGCGCCTTGGTAACAGAGGGCAAGGCAGTCCCCTTCGGTCTCTCGGGCACCCTCGGGAGCTCCTTGTCCAGCCATCGGCCAGACTGTGTATGCAGGTTTGGGCATCGCAGCATGCTGCAATTTTGGCAGCAACCTCTCAACGGCGCACGGGGTGTTGGTTTTGTCCGGCGAGCCAGGACTGTGTGAGGCTCAACTCTGTGCCGCCTTTGGACGCGCCTCGAGCTGCGAGTGCCCCCGAGGTGAGCGCTTCTTGCCTATAAATGCGGGTAACGCACATCGACCGCTCCTCCGAATTCCAGCAAAACTTGGATTTAATTGACGGCACAATTCACCCCATTGGAGCGGCCGCTGATCCAACCGAACGGGCGTGCGGGGCCACTCCGCATCCTCTTCTAATTCTTGCTAAAAGTTATTCAATTAACGGCGCTCCGCCGTCATCCACAACGTGAAGCCGTTGCTGCACTGTGGGTCGCGTGACGCACTGACGGCCGACGAAGCCCACGTTACGCACACTGCGGGTCTACGACAAGCGAACAATGTACAGAAATCCCTCTGATTTGGTCTCAGGATCGGGGGGGTGGGTGGGTCGTGATGGCTGAGCCGGGCAGGCACCCGGAGCATCAATACGGGCTTCAGTGCCGCACTCGGCATGAGGTTACAGCGGATCAGGGCCGGGCGCCAGCGCCAACACTCTCCCGCCCCGAGCCCCACGGCAAGGGCGCCGCGGGGCTTTCCAGGGGGCCGCCTCCCGAGCGCCGGACTTGTGCCCCCACGATCTAGGCCCAGTTCCGTTCCCCCGAAATTGTCGCGGCGATACACGCTCGCTGTGACACAAACCCCATCCTGGTGATTGGCGAAACTTAAGGTATGAGCGAAGTGGGTCCCTCCTCTTCGGAATGCGGCGACGCGGGGTCGGCGGCCACGGAGGCTGGAGAGGCGTCCGAGCCTCAGGGCTGGCCCCCAGCGGCATCGATGCGGTGGCTCGTGGTGGGCTGCGCGAACGGGCAGCCGTATCTTCAGGGCCCCGCGGCGGAGGGCGGCTGGCAGGGCGAGCCGGTGTGGGCACCCAGTCAATGTGTGGAGCTGGACCCGGCGTGGCTGGAGAGATGGATGGCCGGGGAGGGCCCGCAGCTGGCCTGGGCAGGGGCGGTGGCCAACGCCGGCACTGTGGCCTGGTGAGTGTCCCCTCCGGCGTCCGCTCTCCGGCTTTTCGGTCCCGTCCACAAGCCCCACGGCCGCGACGCGCCTGCCGCATCCCAATCAGGAATTGCAACTTGCAAGTCCGCATTTACTGAGTTCTTTTGGGGATCTCTGCCACAGAATCCGCCGGCTTGGTGACGTTGGCGGTGGCTATTGTTCGCGCCGGCCTGCCCACGTGGGGGGGGTGGATCTGTGCCTTGAGGACTGAACCCGGTGGTTGTGTCCGCAAACAGGGGCCAGCAGTCAACCGGGGCGGAGGAGGGGCGGGGCGGGCGGGGCCGCATGCCCGGGGAGATGTCGCCGCCGGCCGGCCGGGACGAGCAGCACGGGCAGCAGGTCAAGGAGGAGCGCAGGGAGCGCAACCGGAAGGCCCAGAGGGTGTTCCGGGAGAAGCAGAAGAAGATCGAAGCCGATCTGAACGCCCAACTGAAGGAGCTCGGCGGCAAAGTGAGGCTCGGCGGGGGTGGGTGGGAAAGCCTGGGGTCGGATCTTCTGCTGACTGCCAGGAGTGTGGGAGGAGCGGACTGGGAGCGGTGACTGAGCGCGGCCAGTTGTGCGGGTCGTCTGGTTGTTGGGGCCGTGGAGGGCGGGTTACGTACAAAGTACTGGGCGGGCCTGCGACTGTGTGCGTTGCTAAAAGTAGTGCGAAAGCTGCGCCTCTTTGCCCATTGGCGCCTGGAAAGACGTGACCGATCAGAGGCTGGTGGAAGATGCGTGGGCTGCGCCCTGATCGCTGTCGTGCCCACGTGGTGTGCAGGTCCACGAACTCGAAATGAGGAACGCGGCTTTGCAGAGGGAGAACGAAATTCTGAAAGCACAGCTGGCGAGCAATGGCTGTCCCTGGCGGCTGAAACGCCCACCGAAGGATGTCTGAAGCTGGTGGCTCGACGCTCCATCGTTCTAGCGTGATGGAGGTACGCTGCTGCTTCTTGGAGCCCTGGCAGTCGCGTCATCTTTCCTTATCGGCAGGCAGTGGCCGAAATCTTCCAATTTCATCGGTTACATGCCTGCACTCGAACGGCGTCAAGTTGCTGGACATCGTGCATTGCTAGTGGCAAGCATTATGTGTAAACGAAGCCAAATCAGGCACTGATTGCACTGTGTCGTTGGCATTGCAAACCAGTGTACAACCAGCGTACAACGGCCTTTGACTGGAAGTGAATCAGGCGACGCAAAAACCAGCAGAGTTTTCATTATAGAGTCAATAAATATAAGTGATTTTCTGCAAATTAGATGCCCAGTTGCAGGCGGTGGAAAATGAACATAAGGAGGAGCGATGAAGATGCCGTCAGGCAATGTTATACATGTTCTGTCAATGTCAATGCTGTGTCGAATTGTACAAAAGACTGTGCTTCCATAATCGAAGTCCAATTCTTGTTCAAGTGTACGGCCATCCTGATGGGGTCACTATTTTTTTTGGCGACAGTGATATTGTTCGTTTTTGAGACACGTTCTTTTTTGCGACAGTGTCGCTCGTTATTGCCACGACGTTGTTCATTTCTGCGACGACGCCCGAACTCTTCTTTTTGCGACAGTGGCGCGGTTGTTCCTTTTTGCGACAGTGCTAGCACCAGCGCTGGTACCAAATGTGTGACTTGCGGCCGTCTGGCCGACGCATCGCGCGCTCCGAGACCTTCGGTTGGCGGTGGTGTTGTTCAGAGAACAGGGCCAATAGGCCAAGCATGAGTGTTAGGGGACGACCAGGGTCCCCCTTGATAACTGGGTTGCTGCGCCAGTCTAGCAGGGAGATTCAAGCGATTTGGCTGAAACTGGCGCAAACGCGAGCTTTGCGAGGCACCGACCGTCCCCTAGCCCGCCAAAAACACGGGTGAGAAGGGCCGGGGCTGCGTCCGCAGGCTGAACAGGGGCTGCCGTGCCTAGGTCGGCAAAGGACATCAGCCGAAACAGCTGATGCTCAAGCCGAACCAGGCCACACGTCATTCAGTGGGGGCGCTGGAAGGCCCCCACCATACCGAAACTGCTCAAACCCCCGAGCCAAAACAGCCAAACAGCGAGCAAAAGGGGCCACTGAACATCCTTAAGCTTGCCCAAACGGTGCTCCGGGAACATGTTGGGCCAGGGGATGGCAGGAACGGGGTTGAGGTGTCACCTACCCCATCTTTCGGCGTTTCGAAAATTTCCGAGCGAGCTGCAACACGTCGGCTGATGCCCGTACCGAACTGGAGTTCCTTTGGGGCGCCCTTTTCTCGCGTTCTGGAACCCGCCGGAGCCATTTCGGCACAGTTGGAGACGCCCAAACCCTGGCGATCGAGCTATGGGGTCTTTGTAGCTGGGCGATCTCGGTCGCCCCCACATGCCAAAGATGGAGATGGCCTGACTGGGTGGGGTCAAGACAAGGGAGGTGGGCGATCGGGGTGGGCAGCTTTGGAAGTGTAGGGCTGGAGGGGTGGGGTTGCACGCGCCCCCTGTCCCCAGCTGGGGACACAAGCTTGGGGACGCGGTGGGAGTCATAGCGTTGGTTGCTGACCCATTAATCGTCCAACAAGTGACGAGCGCTGGCGCCGAGCGCTTTTGACCGGCTAACGTGGCCTTCCTGCTGGCAGTATTGGCGCCACCGCCATTGTGTGTGCGCACCCTGCGCAAACCGAGCAGTGAATGTGCACAACACAGCTTTCTGCCTAACCCAGGCCCCCACCCAGGCACAGGCTTCAGCCTGCGCACTTGGAGGCGCTGTCTTGACATGGGACAAGGACCAACATGGACGTGCAGGGCGCCCCCGCGCGGGGCTGAGAGCGCTGGGCAGCCGATTCAGGGCGTGCCCGGCTTCCCAAGCCGCTCTTTAGTCATAGCCACTGTCGCAGGAAAGAACAGTCCCGGCCACTGTCGCAAAGAAATATTCACATCCTGATGGAGCGCTTGATGATTGCCAGCTTATGCAACGTGGCCATGTCTGCAGGTTGGCCCACTGTGTGCAGCTTGACATCGCTGGCTTGAGAAAATGTTCGAGGGAGGAATTCGATTGAAGTATCTCTTGTGTGCATGAAGGCATAGAGATGAAAGCGTGGAATCCTGACAAGTAAAAATTTAGACGATTACCAGACGTGGGGCGAGTGGAAGTGCAAGACAGCAAGGGAGCCCATGTTCTACATGATAGCTTCAGCGTTCCTCGAATTTGGACAGAGAGGTTGGGCGGGACGGTGCGGAGATGTGGTATCATGGAAAGAGAAGAACGGTTGCCATCGAAAACGGATGTATTATTAGGGCAGCGACGCATCTCGATGACCAGCACACAATATCATGTCTGCATTGCACTATTTCTGCGTTTTATGTGTGTTGGCCATTCTTGTTAGACAATATTATTAATTGTACTTGCTTAGTGGGGCGATGGCTAGACATCGATCTCATTGCCGTTTGTCACTCTAGGTTCCTGTTTGGGAGGGGACACGGTAGGGAGCGACAGAAATGTTCGTGGCGTGTTGCATCCGTCAGTGTTGGATGTGGCGCACCTAATAGCATGCGCATGGATTGGCCATTGCTGCGGAATGTGTTGCCTGTAGTGAACCGAAGCTGTGTACGATACTGCAATTGTAGTGGCGAAAACTGGTCGAGCGGGAAAGGCTAATGCGGGGAAGCCCCCCAAATGTTCGCTGCTGAGCGGCGACGAACTCAAATGCATTTCTAGGTCTCCCAGATGAACATGCTATTCTCAGTTCATTTATGACTCGTTTGAGGATTTTTCGCTGTAGCAATCAGCGCCAAAGTTATTGCGCCATGCTGAAGGACGCTCAGTGCCGCGCGTTCCATTGCAGCGTATCTGCGTCAGGATTATCCGTACTTACTGCGTAGACCCAGATTTTGTCAAGATGGTCCCGGCAATGCTTCTACCATTCCGTGCACCAGTGCCCGTATGGAATTGAACAATTGAAAACTCAACCACCGTAATTTCAACGGGCGACCGCACATGTTGCAGAGCGGTCTCTATTTGTCGTTCTACATTTGCGCTGGGTATTTTGTCCACAGAGTGTCGTTTGAATAGAAGCTTGGCATTTTCTGCGCACCAGTATATATACCAAGCATGCTAATGTCACCAGAATGTGACGGCGGTGGTAATGGCAGGTATGAAATGGATATGCCGAGAATACAAATTCCAAAACATATCACGAAATATAGTGGATCCTCTTGAGGAATACAGAAAGTCTGTTTTGTACATTTTGATACAACAATTCTGGTGTCCTCTGAAGGCGGCAGGCGGCAGAAATTGGATTATCGCCCGTCGTTTTCCGTTTCATAAGCTTACCACGCATTCGCCTATGCACAGCCACAATCCACAAAACATGTATATTGTTGTCGCATAGATGTTGCTGACGGTGACATTGTTGATATTTTAACCCGTTAATTGAACATTATGGTTACGCAGCTCCACAGCTGTCCGGATCACCAGCTGCAGCCTCAGCAGCCAGTGGAGCGCATCAAGGTTACGCTTTCCGCAGCAGGACATGCGGAAGAAACTGCAGAAACTTATGGTTCCATCTCCAGGTCTTCCGTTTTCGAGGACGCTACGCTGAAAGACTCGATCGGCAACCAAACATTTCAATGCTCTTTGCTGCACGCGCGAGCGGTTAGGTGCAGTTCAAACTGTTCAGAAGCACGCTTGAATGACCCTGGTCACCATTTTCTGTCAACGAAGATGCCGCACAGGCCGTGAAAGGGTCGGCTTCTCTGGGTGCAAAATTTTGACAGCAACTGCAAGTTGCACCGTCCAACAGACCACCGCGGATTGCTGCTGGACTGAAACACTGCAACTGTTGCAATGAGAAGAACGTTCGCACCCGCTTCTCCCATCTTCTGAGGTATTCTCAGTGAGATAAGCTTATCTCCAGATATCCTACAGTACATTCAGAAAATGTGCGTGGCGCATGTCGGCCGCTTCTGCAGTCGCCCGTTCCGCTCGTTGCATTTCCCGTGGGGCAGGTGTCGCGCGCGATAGTTCCCTCTCATCAGACTTGATCTACAAAAATTTCATCAGTTTTGTGAACATGACTTCGGATCCACAGTGCCGCCGAACCCCACCGCCCACTCCCCACCAACCGTTGCGCTACTGTGTATGTCATAGGGGGTCACAGTTGCACGAAGCATTTCTCATTCTCTTTCTTTAGCGAGTCGTTCCCCGCATGGATCCCGAACTGGCACCACTGGGCAGGCACTAGCCATCCGAGGAGTACAGGGAAGGTAGCGAGGAAAGGACAGTGGCGGGAACGCACACGTTTACTTCAGCAATACCAGCTGAGAGATGGGAGACTCACCTGAGGCAAGAGCAAGGCACCAGGTCATGCATGTCAAAGAGATATCCTTCAATCCCAAGTCTGAGTAATTGCAGGAGATGGCCGGCGAGGACGGCTGCCTACTTGTGATTCCTAGCAAAGCAGATTGCGCAAGTTCCGTTGAACGCGGATAAGGCTGTCTCTGTGTGAACGGATAAATGTGTGTGGTATATATTTGTAATGATGGCGTGAGAATGTGGATGACAATACAGCAAATTCCATCATTTTTATCATTAATAACACTCAGTGACAATC